TGTCAAGTAGCTGATTAAACAGCATGGTCATTACACAGGTGCACCTTGTGCTGGAGACAATAAAAGGCCACTCTAAAATGTGCAGTTTTGCCACTCAACACAATGCCACAGATGTCTCAGGTTTTGAGGGAGCGTGCAATTGGCATGCTGACTGCAGGTATGTCCACAGAAGCTCATCTGCGTGCTTGTTGTCCTAACAAGGATCTTGACCTGACTGAAGTTTGGCGTTGTAACCAAGTTCAGTGGGCAAATGGTCACCTTCGATGGCCACTGCCACGCTGGAGAAGTATGCTCTTCACTGATTAATCCCGTTTCCAACTGTACCGGGCAGATGGCAGACAGCGTAGCGTTTATGGCATCATGTGGGCGAGCGGTTTGCTGATGTCAATGTTGTGAACAGAGTGCCCCATGGTGGTGGTGGGGTTATGGTATGGGCAGGCATAAGCTATGGACAATGAACACAATTGCATTTAATCGATGGCAATGTGAATGCACAGAGATACCGTGACGAGTTCCTGAGGCCCATTGTCGTGCCATTCATTCGCGTCATCACCTAAAGTTTCCGCATGATAATGCACGGCCCCATGTCGCAAGGATCTGTACACAATTCCTGGAAGCTGAAAATGTCCCAGTTCTTACATGGCTTGCATACTCACCAGACATGTCACCCATTGAGCATGTTAGGAATGCTATGCATCGATGTGTACGGCAGCATGTTCCAGTTCCCGACAATATCCAGAAACTTCGCACAGCCATTGAAGAGGAGTGGGACAACATTCCACAAGCCAAAATCAACAGCCTGATCAACTCTATGTGAAGGAGATGTGTCGCGCTGCATGAGGCAAATGGTGGTCACAGCAGATTCTGACTGGTTTTCTGATCCAGTCATACCCTGGATCTAGTTTTGTCCCGTGAAATAAATATTGTGGATCAAAATGTTTTTCCTCATAATCCTGGACTATCAGACCACCATCTTATTATGTTTGCAATCGCAACAAATAATCTGCTCAGACCCCAACCAAGGATTATCAAAAGCTGCGCTATAAATTCTCGGACAACCCAAAGATTCCTAGATGCCCTTCCAGACTCCCTCCACCTACCCAAGGACGTCGGAGTACAAAAATCAGTTAACCACCTAACCAAGGATCTAAACTTAACCTTGAGTAATAACCTAGATGCAGTCACACCTCTAAAAACAAAAAACATTTGTCACAAGAAATTAGCTCCCTGGTATACCCGAGCCTGAAGCAAGCTTCCAGAAAATTGGAATGGAAATGGCGCTCCACCAAACTGGAAGTCTTCAGACTAGTTTGGAAAGACAGTACAATGCAATATTGAAGAGCCCTCACTGCTGCTCAATCAGCCTACTTTTCCAACCTGATTGAGGAGAATAAAAACAATCCTAAATGTATTTTTGATACTGTCGCAAAGCTAACTAAAAAGCACCATTCCCCAAGTGAGGATGGCATTCACTTCAGCAGTGCCCCCTCGGGCTCGTGCAATGGAGGTGATCTTCATGGGCTATACTCAGCCTTGTCTCAGGGTAGTACGTTGGTGGTCTGTTGATATCCATCTAGTGGTGTGGGTGCTGTGCTTTGGCAAAGTGGGTGGGGTTATGTCCTGCCTGGTTGGCCCTGTGTCCCCCGACCCCCCTGTCTCAGCTTCCAGTATCTATGCTGCAATAGTCTATGTTCCGGGGGGCTAGGGTCAGTCTGTCCTATCTGGTGTAATTCTTCTGTCTCATCTGGTGTCCTGTGTGAACTTAAGTATGCTCCCTCTAATTCTCCCATCTCTCTCTCTCTCTTTCTCTCTCTCTCTCTACCCTCCTGGAGGACCTGAGCCTTAGGACCATGCCTCAGGACTACCTGACCTGATGACTCCTGGCTGTTCCTGTCCCCAGTCCACCTGGTCATGCTGCTGATTCAGTTTCTGCTGTTTTGCCTGTGGCTATGGAACCCTGGCCTGTTCACCAGATGTGCTACCTTGCCCTGGACCTGCTGTTTTTGACCCTCTCTCCCTCTCTCTCTCCCGCTCTACCGCACCTGCTGTCTCGACCTCTGAATGCTCGGCTATGAAAAGCCAACTGACATGTAGTCCTGAGGTGCTGACCTGTTACACCCCCTACAACCACTGTGATTATTATTCAACCCTGCTGGTCATCTATGAACGACTGAACATCTTGAAGAACGATCTGGCCTTAATGGCCATGTACTCTTATAATCTCCACCCGGCCACCCCTCAGAGCCTGGTTCCTCTCTAGGTTTCTTCCTAGGTTTCTGCCTTTCTAGGGAATTTTAACTAGCCACCGTGCTTCTACATATGCATTGCTTGCTGTTTGGGGTTTTAGGCTGGGTTTCTGTGACATCTGCTTTATAAATACATTTGATTGATTTGATTGATCCACACCCCTACCATTTTTTGTGACTAACAGATGCATATCTGTATTCCCAGTCATGTAAAATCCATAGATTCAGGCCTAATGAGTTTATTTAAATTGACTGATGTCCTTATATGAACTGTAAATTGTTGCATGTTGCGTTTACATTTTTGTTCAGTGTAGTTACAGTGAGGGAAAAAAGTATTTGATCCCCTGCTGATTTTGTACGTTTGCCAACTGACAAAAAAATTATCCGTTTATCATTTTAATGGTAGGTTTATTTGAACAGTGAGAGACAGAATAACAACAAAAAAATCCAGAAAAACGCATGTCAAAAATGTTATAAATTGATTTGCATTTTAATGAGGGAAATAAGTATTTGACCCCCTCTCAATCAGAAAGATTTCTGGCTACCAGGTGTCTTTTATACAGGTAACGAGCTGAGATTAGGAGCACACTCTTAAAGGGAGTGCTCCTAATCTCACCTTGTTACCTGTATAAAAGACACCTGTCCACAGAAGCAATCAATCAATCAGATTCCAAACTCTCCACCATGGCCAAGACCAAAGAGCTCTCCAAGGATGTCAGGGACAAGATTGTAGACCTACAATTGGCTGGAATGGCTGGAATGGGCTACAAGACCATCGCCAAGCAGCTTGGTGAGAAGGTGACAACAGTTGGTGCGATTATTCGCAAATGGAAGAAACACAAAATAACTGTCAATCTCCCTGGGGCTCCATGGAGTTGCAATGATCATGAGAACGGTGAGGAATCAGCCCAGAACTACACGGGAGGATCTTGTCAATGATCTCAAGGCAGCTGGGACCATAGTCACCAAGAAAACAATTGGTAACACACTACGCCGTGAAGGACTGAAATCCTGCAGCGCCCGCAATGTCCCCCTGCTCAAGAAAGCACATATACATGCCCGTCTGAAGTTTGCCAATGAACATCTGAATGATTCAGAGGACAACTGGGTGAAAGTGTTGTGGTCAGATGAGACCAAAATGGAGCTCTTTGGCATCAATTCAACTCGCCGTGTTTGGAGGAGGAGGAATGCTGCCTATGACCCCAAGAACACCATCCCCACCGTCAAACATGGAGGTGGAAACATTATGCTTTGGGGGTGTTTTTCTGCTAAGGGGACAGGACAACTTCACCGCATCAAAGGGACGATGGATGGGGCCATCTTGGGTGAGAACCTCCTTCCCTCAGCCAGGGCTTTGAAAATGGGTCTTGGATGGGTATTCCAGCATGACAATGACCCAAAACACACGGCCAAGGCAACAAAGGAGTGGCTCAAGAAGAAGCACATTAAGGTCCTGGAGTGGCCTAGCCAGTCTCCAGACCTTAATCCCATAGAAAATCTGTGGAGGGAGCTGAAGGTTTGAGTTGCCAAACGTCAGCCTTGAAACCTTAATTACTTGGAGAAGATCTGCAAAGAGGAGTGGGACAAAATCCCTCCTGAGTTGTGTGCAAACCTGGTGGCCAACTACAAGAAACGTCTGACCTATGTGATTGCCAACAAGGGTTTTGCCACCAAGTCATGTTTTGCAGAGGGGTCAAATACTTATTTCCCTCATTAAAATGCAAATCGATTTATAACATTTTTGACATGCGTTTTTCTGGATTTCTTTGTTGTTATTCTGTCTCTCACTGTTCAAATAAACCTACCATTAAATTATAGACTGATCATTTCTTTGTCAGTGGGCAAACGTACAAAATCAGCAGGGGATGAAATACTTTTTTCTCTCACTGTATACACCTGCCACATTCAACCAGATAGCAAGTTGGACATTTCTTAGTTTCCTAGTTCCGACTAGCACTTGAACACGGCATTATAATGCTCGTTCACGTGCGCACAGTTTTACTAAAGGTCTAATTTATAACGGGAAACATGTATGGCATGCGCCAAGTTTTTGTGCATGTGCAATCTTTTCAGAAATGGAGCACGCAGATATTTAGTGTAAAATGTACTTAATGGTTATAAAGAATGTATGGATGAAACTTTGTAAAAAAATTAAATAATTAAATGCTATGTTATGTGCGGGAAATGTATGCCTAAATCAATCAACTTTCCTAATTAAAGACAATCTCCCTTTGTCTATTATACTAATATTTCCAATAGCCTATTTTAAAAGCCTACATGCATAATATAGTTCCTCCATGCCATTGAGGGGCGCATTTTCGTAATAAATAAATGCTATCGATAAACCCGGCCTCTCAGCCATGTTGAGAAATCGCTCAGCGCTGAGAGAGCGAAGGAGCTGCAGCCCGCCATTGTGTAGATTCTAAGCTCTGTAGAGAGACAGGGGCACTTGGCTAACTCTCAAATATAAATTTCATACACCCTGCCGCTTAAATTAAAAACCAATTAAAATACAAAGGCTCCAGTGAGAAAGACATGTCAGCCAGCAGCCTTCTTGAACAGGTAAAGAGAGTCACTTTCTGAATATTTACGAGGCCAAATTTCCATCGAAACGTAGCTAGTTAGGATAGCTTGTTCCAGAGGCAGTGACTCTCTGTAGTGCAGTAGGCCTGACCACCTGCTAAAGGACTGACTGGTGAATATACATTTCTTCATTTATTTTTCCCTTCCTCTTTTCTCATAAATCAAACCTTCATGAATCACCTGGACCCAATCCAGAGACCGAAAGGCCAAGGAAACAAAGGTAAGCTATCGTAACATGACAAGTTTGCTGGCTCTGTATGCGGATCTTTTCCGTGTGGTGTGTTCGGAAACCCTCTTCTGCGTGCGCAGATGTGATGATGGCTCGCTAGCAGGCCAGTATCACCAAAGCGGCCATTTAGCTTCTATAGTTGATTGGACACGTGAACAAATTTCCGATAAGTTGGTAGTACTTACTTAGCTAATCATTTAGTTGTATTACATTTACTGTCAGTTGTGCTAATACACCATTTTGTATTTTGAGGCAATCCGTCAGCGCTAGCTTTAATGTTAGCTAGTTAGCCTGGCTAGCTTGGGAGTTAGCTTGCGCTACCTAACTGAGATTACTCTACATTTGCAAACTAGCTGGCTAGGCATTTCTAAAGCCAGACATCTAGTTGGTGGTTTACTTAGTAGTTGGTTAAATGCTAGCGACTACCTTATTAATTTGAACATTCCACTCAAAATAAACCGGTTGTGCCTTGTAGTTCCTTGCTAGCTGGCTAACCTCGCGATTTAAAGGATTCTTCGCGCTCGTGAACATAAGCATGAATTGCCTGCCAATGACACGTCTTCGAGCATGCTGTTCTCACCGTACCAGTAGCTCAGCTATTTTCACAATAACCATTAACTTTAAATGTTTTGGTTCTGACTGTCAATATTTTGAGGTAACTTTGTTTACTAGCCAGGCCTGTTTTCCAGTTTGGCTATTCGTTTTCAGTTTCTGCTTATGTCAGGACGAATTGACACATGTCGGGCACAAATTAAAGATATGTCATGACCCCAATCACTGATATTTAATACCAATCGATTGGGTTTACTCCTCGAAAGTTTCAGCTAGAAACAATATACTACAGCAACACCTCACCTATTTCCATTCCCATTGGTGGCTGTCAAGAGACTTATGCAACTGATTCACTGTAATAAACAGGCCGTTTTCGCATGTTTTAACATATACCGCAGCACCTGACACAATTCATGCCTATGGCCTACAGTTATTTCTTTTAAAGGTGGAACAGTAGCAATAGGTCTAGCCAACATGAAAGACAACTGTTGTCCAACTCAACCAATCCACATGCATTTGTTTATGCTACCCATTTTAGTGCATTAAAACAGCATATTGTGCCATTTGTGCCTGTGAACTGAAGTTGTGCAATACTAGGGATGTATTATTAAATGTAATGACTGCCTGACGCTTATTGTCATGCTCACCACCAACCGCAAGTGTGTAGGCCTATGACTAGTTGCAACAATTTCCACCTTATGCAAAAAGATATATTGAATGTCTTACATTGATGTCTACTCCTCTTTTCCAGTGCAAAACGGAGCTGTGACCCAAAAGGATACTTTGAATGATGAGTTTGAGCCTTACCTGAACACTCAGGCCAGACAGGTGAGTACCACTTCCATCAGTTTGACTAGGCCACACACTGCTCCTAACATTCGCCTCAGTTTTAATATAAATAATCAGGATAATCAACAAGCTACATGACTCATAGGTTACGATGGTAAATATGCAAAACGGGGAGATTTTGCTCTATAGCTTTATAGTAAATTACTTTTATACTGTTGCAATTCATCATGTGTCCATGCCAGGGCATTTAGCGCAGAAATACTCTTCTCTCCCGGTTTACTACGTAGTCCATTTGCTTTCCTAGAATTCCGACTCCTAATTAAACTGGCCTTCATCTTGTCGTAACGGCCTCGGTTGGCATCTATTATTGGGTGCCCCTCAGTAGAGTGGGCACTTCCCAGAAAAGTGGGCCACAATGGAAATAATGGAGCCTGTATTCCTCCAGTCAAAGGAATGCTGCATCCTTTTGTTGAGTAGCAATGCCACTGTTTCTCTTCATAAAGCAGTTCACTGGTGTGAAAATGGCCACAGTCGTCCTAGTCTAGGTGGCGAAAGAGGCTGAGGGAGATCCAGAAAAGGATGTAATGATTGAAATACAGTCAGCAGTCTAATTAGTGTTCTTCTCTCCGCAGAGCAATGCCTATACGGCCATGTCAGACTCCTACATGCCCAGTTACTACAGCCCTTCCATAGGATTCTCTTACTCCCTGAACGAGGCAGCATGGTCCACCGGCGGCGATCCCCCCATGCCTTACCTGGCCTCGTATGGACAGCTGAGCAACGGGGAGCACCACTTCCTGCCCGACGCCATGTTCAGCCAGCCCGGCCCGCTGGGCAGCAACCCCTTCTTGGGCCAGCACGGCTTCAACTTCTTCCCCAGCGGCATCGACTTCTCGGCCTGGGGCAACAACAGCTCTCAGGGACAGTCCACACAGAGCTCTGGCTACAGCAGCAGCTACGCCTACGCGCCCAGCTCGCTAGGGGGCGCCATGATCGACGGACAGTCCCCCTTCACCCAGAACGAGCCCCTCAACAAGGCCCCCGGCATGAACAGCTTGGACAGCTTGGCGGGCCTTAAGATTGGCAGTGGTGCCGGGGACATGGGGGCGCCCAAGGTGGTGGGCTCCGGCCTCCCCGGGGGACCCCTGGGTCACGGCCACAGCCAGGTGTCTGGTGGAGCTCCCAGCATGCCACTGCCCCTAATCTCCATCGCCCCCACCAAACCCGCCTCCTGGGCGGACATTGCCAGCAAGCCTGCCAAGCCGCAGCCGAAGCTGAAAACCAAAGGGGGCATAGCGGGGACCAACCTGCCCCCTCCGCCCATCAAACACAACATGGACATCGGCACTTGGGACAACAAGGGGAACATGCCTAAAGTGTCCACCCCACAGCATGCGCCTATCCCCAGCAACGGGCAGCCGCCCAACCAGGCCTCCCCTCAGCCCGGCGCCATGGTCGGAGGGACCCCGCAACTGCATCTCAGCAACGGACAGTTGGTGGCCCCTTCGGCCCAGCTTGGGCAGCACCAGCTCCCCCCCAATGGGCAGCAGGGCATGGGGGGGCAGCTGCAGCTCTCCCAGGGCCCCCCGCCTGCCACCCAGCCCCCTCAGCCCACTCGCTGGGTCCCTCCACGGAACCGTGCTAACGGCTTTGGGGATGGCGGGGTGGGGCAGTCTCCCCCCAACGTGGGCGTGGTGCCAGTACCTTCGGAGCCCCACCCGGTGCTTGAGAAACTGCGCCTGGTCAACAACTACAACCCCAAGGACTTTGACTGGAACCCCAAGCAGGGGCGCGTGTTCATCATCAAGAGCTACTCTGAAGATGACATCCACCGCTCCATCAAGTACAACATCTGGTGTAGCACGGAGCACGGCAATAAGCGGCTGGACGCCGCCTACCGCTCGCTGGGTGCTAAGGGCCCCCTCTACCTGCTTTTCAGCGTCAACGGCAGTGGCCACTTCTGCGGTGTGGCGGAGATGCGCTCGCCCGTGGACTATAACACCTGTGCTGGCGTGTGGTCGCAGGACAAGTGGAAAGGGCGCTTTGACGTGCGCTGGATCTTTGTTAAGGACGTTCCCAACAGCCAGCTACGGCACATCCGCCTGGAGAACAACGAGAACAAGCCAGTGACCAACTCGCGGGACACGCAGGAGGTGCCCCTGGACAAGGCACGGCAGGTGCTGAAGATTATCGCCGGCTACAAGCACACCACCTCCATCTTCGACGACTTCTCCCACTACGAGAAGCGCCAGGAGGAGGAGGAGTGTGTGAAAAAGGTAACGGCCTGCCATCCACCCACCTGGGGAAATGAATAGGCCCTACACCTTGGCTGTATGCTTGGGGGGAGGGGCATGGGAAGCCATGTGTGTGCGTAAAGGTTCTGAGAGCATCTGGAGAGCAAATAATTGTTGGAGTTATGTTGTTGATGTAGATCATCAGTCACTATGCATGTGTTAATCTTACAATGTGCCATTCCTACAGAAAATGTAGATATGCCAGAAGCAAAATGCAGTAAATAATATTTGTTTATATATATACACACACACTACCAGTCAAAAGTTTGGACACACCTACTCATTCAAGGGTTTTTCTTTATTTTTACTATTTTCTATATTGTAGATTAATAGTGAAGACATCAAAACTATGAAATAACACATGGAATCATGTAGTAACCAAAAAAGTGTTAAACAAATCAAAATGCATTTTATATTTGAGATTCTTCAAATAGCCACCCTTTGCCTTGATGACAGCTTTGTACAATAGAAAATAGTAAAAATAAAGAAAAACCCTTGAATGAGTAGGTGTCCAAACTTTTGACAGGTACTGTGTGTATTTATGTATGTGTGTTCCATGTTACTTTCTTACTTTTAAAAAGTGTTGATCAGTAGTGTCTGTATGAAATTGAATGTATATTTCCAATTCGGTATTTAATCAATGAGCAATTTCACATTTTTTGTTCTGTTGGAAATGTATTAGGAATTTATGCATTTTGCATAGGCATTTACAGTTGAAAATGATGCCCTCTTTGCCTGAGCTGTGGTTTCTGTAATTATTTAGGAAATGGTTCAGATGCTTGGCTCACCAAATCAATGCTCTAGGCCAGTAAGGCCACTATGTTCCTATATACAATAAAAAGGTTTTTGCAAGAATCAAGTAAACCAAATGCTAAATGCCAGCAGTCACCCTTGTGACCACCAAAATGCATTTTGTTGACCTTTTCTAGTGACTCCCAAAATAATTAGAATATTCATTATTATGCTCAGTCTTTTCCAAAGGCTTCTATTCACATATGAAATGCATGTTTACATTGGCCCTTCAGTCTAAATGGCCATTGATGTATGTTCATCCTTTGTTTGGAACAAATGCTTGCTCAATGTACTAATGTTGATGACTTCCACTCACAGCAGTGCGACGTGACTTGTTTTGAAGATGATACATTGAAGGCCATGTTAGCAAAAGCTGTCTAAGTAGGATGATAACATATTCAAATCTTACCCTACAAGGTCCGGATTACTGCTGATTTTCTTTTTTACTTAGTCATTTATTGCACCCACCTGGTGTCCCAGATCTAAATCAGTCCATGATTAGAAGGAAATAATGTGGGGTGGGTGGGGGGGGGAGCAGTGGAACTGGCTTTGAGGTACAGATTTGAATTTGAGGGGCCTATAGGCTAGCTTGGGTTCTGACTCCTTGCCAAGCTGTGTAAATCATAATAGATTGTCAGAAAGGGTTACACTCACTGTAGTTCTGTAACTCTGTATTACCGACCCTGTTTTTATACGGACTACAGAGTGCTTGTTTGTCAGATCTGAGATGTGGAAGCGGCTTTCTTTACATCAAAACATAGGCCTAGTTATTGGGTTATATTGGACAGTCCTGCCTGCTGTTGCAACAATATGTTGCAAATTTAAATTCTGTCTTGTATGTTTCCTTCAAGCTTATTTTGCTGAAACTCAAATCATGCTTCCTTACATGGTGCTATCTGATAACATTTGATTTATTTTGGAACTTGAAGCGTAGCGTACTTTCCCATCAGTAACTTCACATTGCATGACTGCGGTTGTGTGCAAAACACGGTCTGCATTATTTACTGCGACAAGGAAACTGCTCTGCACCTGGGGGTATTTCTCAGAGAAACTCCCCTGTAAATATTACAAAGACTCAATATTTACTAGTTATCAAAGATCAATGTATAACCAGTGTTTTTATCATTTAATTAAATATATTAACTCTTATCTAGAAAAAACGAGATGCGTGTTAATCATAGTTTTGTGGCTAACACATTGATCCCGGTGATTACCACTGATTTGGTATTGATGTAATATCAACATGCACTTAGGTTCAGAATTCAGAGTAGAGCTGAGAGGCATGTGCACTAGGAAGGCGATATACTGACAACTCAAATGAATGTTCCTTGCTGTATAATGTAACAATGAAACAAAATATTAATGTTTTAGATTCCGATCATGGTTGACTGATTGCGATTCAAATGTAATTTTTCATCTGTCCACTTAAAGACCACAAAGTCAATTTTTGTAAATCAATTGAAAGTGATGCATGTATGCCTGAGATCGATTGAGGCCTCACATCCTTCCTGTTTTGTTCCAAAACTAAAGCCTGATGTTTTGTGTTACCAGGTGGAGGTCCAGGGAAGCGAGCCGTACCCCAGCAACCCAAACCCCAGCAGGAGTCATTACAGACTTCAGGTAACACGCCCTAGTGCTCCCACCTACCTCTCGTCCTCTTGTGCTAACCTTTTTGTATGGATTTTTACTTCATTAGGCCAGGTAGCCTAGTGGTTAAGAGCGTTGGGCCAGTAATCAAAAGGTCGCAGGTTCGAATCCCCGAGCTGACTAGGTGAGAAATCTCTCTGCTCTTGAGCAAGGCACTTAACCCTAATTGCTCCTATAGGTCGCTCTGGACAAGAGCGTCTGCTAAATTACTAAAATGTAATGTTATTAATGGGGTAGTGAAGTCAAAAACATGATTTACTGTTTTATTGCTGATATTTCCACACAGAGGTCGAAATAACACTCTGAAATTGTGAAAATGATCATCATGCCCTTTCAATTTAAGCTTTTTGAAAATAATGCCTGGAATTTCAGCTTGTTCAGGTGGGATGGTATTTTTGGCCCACAACATGACCAATAACCAGTTAACTTTTATTTGCATACAGTGCCTTCGGAAAGTATTCAGACCCCTTGACTTTTCCCACATTTTGTTACATTACAGCCTTATTTTAAAATTGATTAAATAAATATAAATCTTCAGCAATCTACACAAAATACCCCATAATGACAAAGCAAAAACAGTTTTTTACAAATGTTTGCAAATTTATAAAAAACGGAAATGCCTTATTCACATAAGTATTCAGGCCCTTTGCTATGAGACTCGAAATTGAGCTCAGGTGCATCATGTTTCCATTGATCATCCTTCAGATGTTTCTACAATTTGATTGGAGTCCACCTGTGGTAAATTCAATTGATTGGACATGATTTGGAAAGGCACACACCTGTCTATATAAGGTCCCACAGTTGACAGTGCAAAAACCAAGCCATGAGATCGAAGGAATTGTCCGTAGAGCTCCGAGACAGGATTGTCTTGAGGCACAGATCTGGGGAAGGGTACCAAAACATTTCTGCAGCATTGACGGTCCCCGAGAACAGTGAACTCCATTATTCTTAAATTGAAAATGTTTTGGAACCACTAAGACTCTTCCTAGAGCTGGCCACCCGGCCAAACTGAGCAATCAGGGGAGATAGGCCTTGGTCAGGGAGGTGACCAAGAACCCTATGGTCACTCTGACAGTGCTCTAGAGTTTCTCTGTGGAGATGGGAGAACCTTCGAGAAGGACAACCATCTCTGCAGCACTCCACCAATCAGGCCTTTATGGTAGAGTGGCTAGACGGAAGCCACTCCTCAGTAAAAGGCACATGACAGCCTGCTTGGAGTTTGCCAAAAGGCACCTAAATGACTCTCAGACCATGAGAAACAAGATTGTCTGGTCTGATGAAACCAAGATTGAACTCTTTGGCCTGAATGCCAAGCGCAAACTACAGAGATCCTTGATGAAAACCTGCTCCAGAGCGCTGAGGACCTAAGCACACAGCCAAGACAACGCAGGAGTGGCTTTATTATATCTGTTTTGGGCTTTTTGCGGTCAATTTGCTGTCTACTAATAATTTGTAATTATGTTTGGGCCCCTGACCATCCGCGCAAGAAAACAACGGCCCGCGGCTGATTCTAGTTGATCCCTGCTCTAGAGTCTAGACGATCTTATCTGCTAATCAGGGCTGTGTACATAAACATACGGAACAAAAATATAAACGCAACGTGCTATGATTTCAATGATTTTACTGAGTTACAGTTCATAAGGAATTCAGTCAATTGAAATAAATTCATTAGGCCCTAATCTATTTCACATGACTAGGAATACAGATATGCATCTGTTGGTCACAGATCCCTTAAGAACCAGTCGGTGTCTGGTGTGACCACCATTTGCCTCATGCAGCGCGACACATCTCCTTCTCATGGAGTTGATCAGGCTGTTGATTGTGGAATGTTGTCCCACTCCTCTTCAATGGCTGTGCGAATTTGCTGGATATTGGCAGGAACTGGAACATGCTGTCGATCCAGAGCATCCCAAACATGCTCAATGGTTGACATGTCTGGTGAGTATGCAGGCCATGGAAGAACTGGGACATTTTCAGCTTTGTTTCAGAACATTCAATTCTCTGTTAACGGCTCTGGTAGTAATTCCTACAGTCAGCATGCTAATTGCACACTCCCTCAACGTGAGACATCTGTGGCATTGTTGGGTGACACAACTGCACATTTTAGAGTGGCCTTTTATTGTCCCCAGTACAAGGTGCACCAGTGTAATGATCATGCTGTTTAATCAGCTTCTGACTGTGGTCCTCTGTAGCTCAGCTGGTAGAGCACGGCGCTTGTAATGCCAAGGTAGTGGGTTCGATCCCCGGGACCACCCATACACAAAAATGTATGCACGCATGACTGTAAGTCGCTTTGGATAAAAGCGTCTGCTAAATGGCATATTATTGATATGCCACACCTGTCAGGTGGATGGATTATCTTGGAAAAGGAGAAATGCTCACTAACCGGGATGTAAACACATTTGTGCAGAACATTTGAGAGCAATACGTTTTTTGTGCTTTTGGAAAGTTTCTGGAATCCTTTTCTGTTCATGAAACATGGGACCAGCACTTAAGATGTTGCGTTTTATATTTGTATTCAGTGTACCTGACTTCGTTGCTAATGTATAAAAGAATGAGCTACCAAACACGCTTTGAGGTCCCTCTGGTCTCGACCAATTTAGGTAAGTCCTCCTTTAATTTTAGTGCCCCCCACTGTTGGAATAACCTACAAAATTCCTTGCATCTTGATTCCCTGGTGCCGCTAGGGCAGTTTAGGGCTCTGGTGTTGAATGAATTAATTGAGGATTTCAATTTTGATTGTAGTGGTTTATTTGTTGAAATTGTGGTTTTGAGGTTGTGCTTTTATTTGTTTATTTGTAATGTACATTTTTCACCCTGTTTGTGGAAATGTTTACTTGGGTCACCATTGGGAGTGAGACCATGGTCTCAATTGGGCTCCCCTGAATACATTTTAAGTTTTATATATAAAAATGATTTCACTATACACTGCACAGAGATTTTGGTGCATGCCAGAATTAGAAACTTTACGGACGTGTTGGTTAAATTTTGGTCTGGAGAACACGTGGAGAGTAAACCCAGCCTAACAGGCCTGCTACAGTGAGGGGGAAGAAAGTATTTGATCCCCTGCTGATTTTGTACGTTTGCCCACTGACAAAGACATAATCAGTCTATATTTTTAATAGTAGGTTTATTTGAACAGTGAGAGACAGAATAACAACAAAAAAGAAAAACGCATGTCAAAAATGATAAATACATTTGCATTTTAATGAGGGAAATAAGTATTTGACCCCTCTGCAAAACATGACTTAGTACTTGGTGGCAAAACCCTTGTTGGAAATCACAGAGGTCAGATGTTTCTTGTAGTTGGCCACCAGGTTTGCACACATCTCAGGAGGGATTTTGTCCCACTCCTCTTTGCAGATCTTCTCCAAGTCATTAAGGTTTCAAGGCTGATGTTTGGCAACTCGAACCTTCAGCTCCCTCCACAGATTTTCTATGGGATTAATGTCTGGTGACTGGCTAGGCCACTCCAGGACCTTAATGTGCTTCTTCTTGAGCCACTCCTTTGTTGCCTTGGCCATGTGTTTTGGGTCATTGTCATGCTGGAATACCCATCCACGACCCATTTTCAATGCCCTGGCTGAGGGAAGGAGGTTCTCACCCAAGATTTGACGGTATATGGCCCCGTCCATCCTCCCTTTGATGCGGTGAAGTTGTCCTGTCCCCTTAGCAGAAAAACACCCCCAAAGCATAATGTTTCCACCTTCATGTTTGACGGTGGGGATGGTGTTCTTGGGGTCATAGGCAGCATTCCTCCTCCAAACACGTTGAGTTGATGCCAAAGAACTCAATTTTGGTCTCATCTGACCACAACACTTTCCCCCAGTTCTCCTCTGAATCATTCAGATGTTCATTGGCAAACTTCAGACGGGTATGTATATGTGCTTTCTTGACCAGGGGGACCTTGCGGGCGCTGCAGGATTTCAGTCCTTCACGGCATAGTGTGTTACCAATTGTTTTCTTGGTGACTATGGTCCCAGCTGCCTTGAGATCCTTGACAAGATCCTCCCGTGTAGTTCTGGGCTGATTCCTCACCGTTCTCATGATCATTGCAACTCCACGAGGTGAGATCTTGCATGGAGCCCTAGGCTGAGGGAGATTGACAGTTATTTTGTGTTTCTTCCATTTGCGAATAATCGCACCAACTGTTGTCACCTTCTCACCAAGCTTGGCGATGGTCTTGTAGCCCATTCCAGCCTTGTGTAGGTCTACAGTTTTGTCCCTGACATCCTTGGAGAGCTCTTTGGTCTTGGCCATGGTGGAGAGTTTGGAATCTGATTGATTGCTTCTGTGGACAGGTGTCTTTTATACAGGTAACGAGCTGAGATTAGGAGCACTCCATTTAAGAGTGTGCTCCTAATCTCAGCTCGTTACCTGTATAAAAGACACCTGGGAGCCAGAAATCTTTCTGATTGAGAGGGGGTCAAATACTTATTTCCCTCATTCAAATGCAAATCAATTTATAACATTTTTGACATGTGTTTTTCTGGATTTTTTTGTTATTCTGTCTCTCACTGTTCAAATAAACCTACCATAAAAATTATAGACTGATCATTTCTTTGTCAGTGGGCAAATGTACAAAATCAGCAGGGGATCAAATACTTTTGTCCCTCACTGTATGTGAGACACTCATTCAAATAAATTACACTCGGGTTCTATTTTCAAGAATTCTATGCGTGGCTCACGCCCGAGAACACTTGAGAAAGTGTCTCACTTTCTCCTCACGCTGGCAAAAAATTACACTTCCAGTGTAAAACCTACTGTTTTCCTGCTCCCCTGTTAGACAGCCACCTTTGTTTTGGAATCAGAGGACATTTCATCAAGTTAAATTCCCTTTCTCTCAAGTGATCAAAATGCAGATGTACTTTGACATTTTGTGCTCAATGTACTCTTGACTGAATGAGGACAAATGGCCCATGTCTTGCCCTGGATGAATATTGCAAATGTCTGAAAAGGTGATCAGAACTGCATGTTGTAGGCTATACACATCCTGTTTATGTATTTGTGTAGAACTACTCGGTGGGACTGTTGGGACCTGGTGGTAGGGAGATGTTTAGCACCAGCAGACATGGGGCTTGCTTTTAAACATAAAAACAAAACAAAAAATGCAATTTATTATAATAATAATAATATGCCATTTAGCAGACGCTTTTATCCAAAGCGACTTACAGTCATGCGTGCATACATTTATTTTGTGTATGGGTGGTCCCGGGGATCGAACCCACTACCTTGGCGTTACAAGCGCCGTGCTCTACCAGCTGAGCTACAGCTACAGAGGACAAGGACATTTAAAGAATGACAAACTCCACTCTTAAATCCATTGATGGGAGTATAATAATTATGCCCACTGGTTACATTTAAAATTGGATCTAAAACATTCTGAAAAGCCCTAAATCTCTAACGTGTGTCATGTTTTGATGTGAGTCCCCAAACTGAACTCTTCCTGTTTTCTCTGTGTCCCACAGGAGCGCCAAGGACGTGTCAAGTAACAGTTACTGCTTTGGGCAAAAGACTGCAATAGCCCCCACTTTCCACCCCCATCTCACATTCAGATCTTTCAAGAAATGCAAAATGGGGGGGATTAACCAAGGACAAAAAAAAAACTAAATGAAGACTTTCTTGATTTCTTTTTACTTTAAAAGACTTACTTCGAACTTGTAGTAAAAGAAAAAGAAACGATTATTCATAGGACTACAACTTAATGCATAGTATCCTTAGGTGAATCTCTTTTGCCCCACCCCATTCCACTACATATGCTCTTTTTTTTTTTTTTTTTTCCCTGGTATGCATTTCTTTTATCTTTTTTTTTTACATTGATCATCTGTTTTTACAGTCCGAGAGCAAGTCTGTAATTCTTCTCACACAAAATTCTAGTGGAAATGTTTAGTGTCGGCTACTATTAGTGCCCGGAAGTGAAGGCGGGCCGTTTGCCTAATTTCTTTGTAAACCCCTCCTGTGGAAGATGAAAGGATCCAACAGGACGCAGAGGGGTCTCCTCAGTGGATATTTGTCGTCGTGGGTACTTTCATCGCACCCTGCAAGAAGTTTGTTTCCTATGCTTCCATCTTCTGTCATAAAAAAGAACTAAAACGAATGTTTGAGATTACCCTATTTTTTTTGGGGGGGGGGATTGAAACTAAAACATTAAGTTTAGAGCCTTGGTCATTGTATAATTATTTTCTAGTGTACAATTGTACAAAACGGGGCCCTGTTTGCAGTCTTCGGAACTTATTTACCCTCTTTCTTGGACCTGTTCATTAATGTTGCTTTCCTCTCGCCATATTTGTTTCTTCCTCCCCTTCCGTTTTCTTAAAGACCGCGCTGACGCGAGTGGCCTCGCCCTCACTCTTTCTATTAATCAGTTCAAAGTAATAAATGTGGTATACTCAGCAAGAACTTGTGCATTCCCCTTGTTTGACTGTAAGCACTTCTTGTCATGCTGTGTGCATCCTTTTTCTCTATTTAAGGGTAAATGAATGTTTTATTACTTGGTAATTAAGCCCTATACCCTCGCACTTAATTCTACCCCTAACACCCCTCTTGCACCACTATCCCCATCCACAATGTCCACCCCCCCCCTTTTCTTCCCCCTCCCCAGCTGGCTGCTCAACCATAACACCACCACTACTCTCGCAGAATGTCAATGTTGGTGTAAAAAATAAGGTCCTCTTTCAAAAACGACTGGCTTTTAACTGTGGCATAATAAAGATGCTCCACAAAAGTCCAGTTTGCTATTTTCTCTTCTTGAAGCGAAGCTATGGGAGTTTTGTTAATGACAGCTTTGTTCATTGATTAGGCCAGTAGAATATTGAGTGGTATCTGTAGGTGTTTCCTATGTGCTGCTGTTTTCATGCTTGTTGTGATCTTTTCATTGTGCTCGACTCTGCATCTGTAACTACTACAACTCGGGTCACTGTCAAGTATGTGACTGGAGGCTCAGAGGAGGCATTGGAGTGAATTTCAGCCTACATTTTGGGCATTTCAGTCTCAAGGGAGGTTTGGGTGTTGTAATTGGAGATGCTGAACATGTAGGCCTATTTTATGACGCAGTCTTGCTGTTGAATATGTTAGTGAAACAACCTGTATAGCATTAGCACAGACGTGAGAAACATGCTTTCCGTATCTTGAATTCCCAAAGGTGCAGGGTCACTCGGTAGGACTCTGTTTAGGATCATCAGTATGCTATGTCTAACTCATCACTCTCACATTATGGCCCTTGAAATTACAGACCTCATTTAGTGTATGCCATAATTTTCAGTGTTAAGTACTATAATTAATCAGTCATACCTTGAAGTTATCACTGATCTGATGTCAGATTTGACCTGCAAAACATTGGCCTACTACTGGAAGTCTTGCTTATCAAAACATGTAAGATCAATGATTTACCATACTCAAATGGTGTGAAAAGTATTCTGACAGGGCTAAAGACTCATGTCAGTTCAAAAAGGTTAGAGACCAAGTGCTCTCCAACCTATGTGTTAGATCAGGGGTGTCAAACTCATTCCACGGCGGGCTAAGTGTCTGCAGGTTTTTGGTTTTTCCTTTCAATTAAGACCTAGACAACCAAGTGAGGGGAGTTCCTTACTAATTAGTGACCTTAATTCATCAATTGAGTACAAGGGTGGTGCGAAAACCCACAGACACTCAGCCCTCCATGGAAAGAGTTTGACACGTGTTAACTGCAAAGTACCTCCAGTGAAGTCCTCTTTCTTCTATAGGTTTTGCGTACCAATTATTATGTTTGCTATATATTTTGCCTATTGTCACTAAATGTATTCTCAATGTGAGTCCCTTCATGCAGGTGTCCTCAACACATACTGGTGATTAATCTGAAAATCAAGACTCTTTGTCAGGGGAGTGATACCTCACAGACCCCCCCCCCCCCCCCCCCCCCCCATCCATCCAGCACACGAGTCGGATTGTGCTTCAAGCCTTTAACACTTCTTCATGTAGCCTATTTTGCAGCCCAATTCAGATTTTTTTGCCCAATTATTGGTAAAATAACTATGGTCAAAAGATCTGAATTGGAAGGGTTAATAACCATGGCCTTTGTGTGCATTGATTACGTAGAAACACATTTTTTGGGGTGCAAGAGCACGTTCACTAGCCTCGCAAGTCACCTGGTCTCATGAATGGTTCGCTACCACGGAATCATAGCGGTGCCGTGTTCGCGTCATGACGGAAACTGACATTTCTGACTTGCCAACCTGGACGGAAGATTCAAATCCAGAGTTTCCCACTTGGGAGGTACCATAATCAACCAATAGGAAGCTCTACGCAAATAACTTTTGTTCATGTTAACTCTGAGGTCCCGAGTTTCCGACATGATGTGAACATGGCAGGATAATACAGTGTGTTGCATTATGTGGATAACATTTGTCTGACGTGCCTACATGTCGACTGTATGAAAGAAAAAGTACAAAGTGATTGAAGGTCATTACATTTTGACTGCAAGCTTCACCAACTTCATCCTGCAGCTATCGCCTGGATTGTGGGAGGCTCTATTGTCAAGCAATTCTTAGGGTGTTTTTGTTTGATCCACGCGAAAGTGACCAAAGACATGACTGAAACAGGAACCAACTTTGCCGCGATTCATGTATTCAGTGGATATACAAATTAATTTAATATTTGAGGCTCTTTCAAATTAATTGATTGTGCAATCTACACATACAATTTAATTTTGTGAAGGTGTGATATGGGGGTTGGAGACATGTTTATTTCAACATTATTAAGACAAACTTCTATAAACAATGGCAACACTACCATGTTGATCTGATCCTTGCTGTTGGATAACCACATTATTGTCTGACTTTCGGCTGACACAGATGCACCTCCCCCGACTTCACTCCTCGACTTTCGTCTACAGTCTGTTGCTTCAGCCTTACCACTTAAACGCGCCCTGGGCTTCAAATCATAGGCGAAATTGCCACAGGGGATGGGGGGATATGTCCCCCCCAATATACAGAAGAGGTCTACTTAAAATCCCCTTGCGGTATGGGGTCCCCCAGATTGCATATGAACACATCATAACCATTAGCAAAATGTGTAGAATTGCAGGAAATTAGATTTAACAGTCGACTTCTGGGCACAAAAAATTGTCCTCTTTCTCAATTTTCAAACAGAAAAGGGGTGTGGTTTGGTGGTTCATCTGTGTCATTCTGGTCATGCGCGCCACGACCGTAGTAGCTAGTTCATTAGCTAAGCTAGTCACTTGTAACTAGCCAGTAACTCAGGGTTTCCCAAACTCGGTACTCGGGACCCCAAGGGTTGCACATTTTGGTTTTTGCCCTAGCACTACACCGCTGATTCAAATAAATACTAATCAACAAGCTTTGATCATTTGAATCAGCTGTGAAGTGTCAGGCAAAAAAACAAAATGTGCACCCCCTGGGGTCCCGTGGACCGAGTTTGGGAAACGCTGCAGTAACTCCTCCAGTATGTGTTGATGTCATTTCACAGGATTTGTTTTTGGACTGAAGCTGTAGAGATCGGTAATAAATGGCACATCCATAGCCAAATATCTTATTCATACAAAGAAATGTAAGCATTACATAACCTGGTATGAAGGTGCATTGATCAGTTATACAGTTTAAAGCTGTTATTTATGCTTTTTGCCCAAAGACGACCTTTAAAGTAATTGTCCAGTGTTTCCAGATTTCTATGAAATATGACCTATAATTAATTATGAGTTAAATAGTTTTCCTTCCAAAAAATGGAAATGAAGTATGTTAAACAGCAGCTTTTCTGTGTTGGAACAACAGAATGGTGTGGACGTATACTGGTCATTAAACATTTTCATGTAAATAGACCACTGATTGGTCATCTATGAGGAAATAGCAAGCATTATTTACATGTTTGAGGTGGGGGTTTTTAAGTGTTTTTTCTCTCCAATTTATGCTTTGGCCACTAGAGTATAGGATGAGTCAACAACATTATTTGGGTATGAGTTAACAGAAAAATATATTTTAAAAGTGAGATTTTCACTGGACAGTTACTTTAAAACAGCATATTTTCCTCTCTGCCCCATGGCAAAATGTGTAAAATTCAGGAAATTAGCTTTAAAACTGCCAAAAAAAGTATCTCTGCCCCATTGGCAAAATGTGTTAAAATGCATGAAGTTAGTTCTTTTCCTATATATATATTTGTAAAAATGTTGGGGGATGGGGGCCTTCCACTTATCCTTTCACTTATACTGTGTTTTCAAAATATCCCTCAATATACCCCTCAAAATACACCTCAAGAGAGATAAGTCAAGTCAAAATGTAAAAAAATATCTGGGGGAGGAACCTCCATCTACTCCACAATTTCGCCCTTGCTGAAAATTAAAATGTATAGGTATTTCCGAGTGAATTAACCTACCATATGCCGGTTTTCAATGTATTTGACGGCCAAGAAGAAGCATGAAGCTGAATAGTAACCACCGTTTCATTAGAACTACACACATGAGCTACAACTCCCACCAAGTCTCTCTATACACCAAGTCACTTGGCTCTGTCATATCCTCACATGGTCTCTCCTATCATTGCTACGCAGACGACACACAATTCATTTTCTCCTTTCCCCCTTCTGATAACCAGGTGGCAAATCGCATCTCTGCATGTCTGGCAGACATATCAGTGTGGATGTCGGATCACCACCTCAAGCTGAACCTTGGCAAGACGGAGCTGCTCTTCCTCCCAGGGAAGGACTGCCCGCTCCATGATCTCGCCATCACGGTTGACAACTCCATTGTGTCCTCCCAGAGTGCAAAGAACCTTGGTGTGACCCTGGACAACTCCCTGTCATTC